GCCGAGAGCTTAGAATCTCTAGTTCAACACGTAGAGCTTTAACCCTGCATCAAAAAAACCTAACCATCTGATGTAGGATACAAAACGATGCAAGGTGTAAAGGCGGCAAAATCGATTTCGCACGATTTAACTGCGGGCGAAATTGTTAACCAAGAATCGGATTGCTGAGTCGTTCTAGCGGTGCTGATGCTGATTCCAACCAGGGTAGACAGTTACACAAATGCTGATATTTAATACTATTGATTTGTTAAAAGATAGACAGTTTGCTACCAAATGGATGGATACTGAAGTTAAAAAACGTCCACATATATATTGACGATGAGGTACTCTTTGGTGGTCTGGAGGTACTTTTGTTGGAATGTGGGCATTGGTCAAGTCGAGTTACAATTGGGTTTGTAGAATAAGTCTATCGGGACTGATAGTGATAATTGAATTCATGCTTATCATTCAGATAAACTGAGAAATCAAATTTGAAAATAATCGTTGTTTTTTTGTTTTTTTTAACTATAATAAACGATGATGACCAAATAACTCGGAGGTGTGTTAATGCCTGCATTTTCTATCTAATCAACCGGTGGGTGTTCCGCATGAAAAACGAATTATTTGTCGCTAAAAATGGAGTTTCAGCTTGTCTTGAGTTATGTAATGACTCAATTAGAATTTGTATGCAGAAGAGCTAATGGGTTGGAAATTACCGGCATTGTATATTTCCGTGAATCTCAAAAAAAAAATCATAAACTAAAAATGTATTCACTGAGGATAATTTTCGAAATGGAGTCACTAATATGCATTCGAAATTATCTAACAGGCCAATCAAAATTGATTCACGCTCTAATAGCCAATGGACGCAATTACGTCATATTCGAAATTTATATCGGTTTGTACATATGAATCCGAATCACAATCTTCATACTCATATTCAGTTGACAACAGAGAATTTTAGCAGAGAGAGAACTCAAGAACAATTTACCCTACGTTAGAATATCACTTATTTACCAATGACGGACGCTGATCAAAATGGAAAAAGAAAGAGCCTAGACCAGGATAACTTCTTTTTGTTTTAATCATTTCAATAAACAACGTAAGGAGAAACTACTATGCAAGGGGTTACAGAGAGAGAAATATTTAAAAAGGCTGGGTATAAGAACCGAGAAAATAACTAAAAAGAATAACGGGCTTCAAGAAGATAGATGATGGCGATTGATGTTGCATTTAAATTTTGAAGATTGTAGTTATAAATTAAATTAAGCAAAAAAATGAAAGGGAAATCCACAGGCATAAAAACTGTTGGAGAAAATGGCGCTTACTTTAACTAATTCAACAGTAAAAGGTGGAACCTAATTTTAATCTAAGCACGCTTAAACTCACATAGTTCGGGCACCAGGGAAAAAAATCGTCAGCAAAGTTGCTATGAAAATTACAATTTTTTGGATTTTGTCAAAGAACCTCGAGACGTTTAGGAGAAGCATCAGGCCAGATATGAAAGTATTTAATGCAAATAAAATGGTAGATTTGTAGAATGAGAAGAAATATAACAAACATGGATATAGAATTTTATGGTCTAGTGTTGACTCAATTATCCTGCCCTTCCCCTGCCGATGGAGCATCTATCCCCTGCGGACATATATATATAGATATAAAAATCAAAATTATTATATATAAATTATATATATACAAACTCAAATATAATCGACGAATATTTACATATCCATAGCCTGATTATAAACACAAATATAAACGATCAATGATCGGTATTTACTTATCCCAGAATATAACTAAACACTTATAGAATCCAATATAAACGATCAAAATGTACCTATCTTCAAACCAACTAAATGCTTATATCAGGTATAAATACCTAACTATCAAAAAATGGTTTGAATGAAAGGTTTTATAATAAAGGTATATAATAATAATAATAATAATAATAATAATAATAAAGAGCTATCAAATTATAATGACCTGCAAGTCGAAGTAAAAAAATGTGGAAACTTACAACTACAATTATCCCTGTTGTGATAGGGGATATCATGATATAGAAGGGTAAAGAAAATCATGAAAACAAAATTCTAGCCACATAAATAAAATTAGAATTAATTTTTATTACTTTGTATGAAAACTGCATAAATCTGCAAATATATCCCCATCTAAATAATGTCCCAATATCTGAAATAGATATACCTTTATTTTATAAACTAAAATTTACCCATAATTTTGAACCAACTTTGTAAAAAAATAATGTCATGAAAAAAAAAAATAAAGCTGGAACAGATTCGGAAACAAATTAACAACGCTGGCAAGACAAACCTCTGCATGGCCAAATATCCAGAACGTAAATAAACCCAATAATGATAATAATAATACTCATCGATGGTTATTAGCATCTGGATTAAAGTCTGAAACTGAAGGCTTTATTCTTGCAGCGCAAGACCAGAGTCTTTTCACTAGGAATTTTCAGGCAAATATCATACATAATAATGTGGATCCAAAATGCAGGTTCTGTGACAAATACCAAGAAACAATAGACCATCTAATCTCAGGATGTTCTATACTTGCCCCAAATGAATATAAAAATCGTCACGATAGAGTGGGGCAATAAAACTGGACAATGTGCAAACACTTTGGAAAATGTGTAAATTTACTGGTATGAACATCGGCCAGCGCCGGTTACAGAAATAGAAGATGTCACCATTCTATGGGATTATACCATCCACACAGACAGAAAAATTGAAGCAAATAGGCCGGACATTATTGTCAAAAACCAGAAAGAAAAAAACTTGCTACTAATTGATATGGCTTGTCCAGCGGATTGTAACATAGCAACCAAGGAATTTGAAAAAACTATCAAAATACAAAGACCTGGAAATTGAAATAGAAAAAATGTGGAAATTGAAAACAAGAATAATACCAGTGGTAATAGGTGCACTTGGAATTATAAAAAATGGAACAAAACAACACATTGAAAGAATCCCTGAAACCCCAGCTTAAGAGACATACAGAAAATTGTCTTATTAAGTACAGCACACACACTAAGGAGAACTTTGTCTATGTAACGCTAGCAACTTCATCGGAGATAAAAAAAAAAAAAAAAAAAAAAAGAAATGTGGCCATAACACACCACGACCTGCCTTAGGTCTTTCCGCAGAAGAGCATGTTATAAATGTGGAACGTTTAAGGAAAATAAAAATTACAAGGATGTTTAATCAGAAAGAGATAGCTGAAATTTTGACACCCTGTATCCGCAGGTGAATAACATCCCCAAGGCAGGATATTTTCACCACATTGTTTCACAATAAGTATACTATTCCTTAAATCCTAAGCATCGTTCGATTTCCTCTACACATTGTTAGTGATAAATATGGCGTCTTTCGTCTCAGGTGGCCACAAATTGTTCTTAAAATCTTTATTTTTATCATTATTTATATCCTCGTTGGTAAACTTAACACGATCTTCAACTTGATTTTTCTTTATTAATCTGTCAAAGTCGTTGAACACTGCAAGTCAATATTTGCAAGACAAGGTATCCCAGAGAGTGTAGTATCTGGTAATGGCCCTCAGTTCAGCTCAAATGAATTTTTAAATTTCTCAAACGTTTATGGTTTCAGAGACTTCACTAGTGGCCTACATTATCCACAAGGAAATGGAGAAGCTGAATGGGTAGTTCAAATGTTGAAGAACTTGTTAAAAAAGGGCAGGTGAACCACACACAGTACTTCTGAATTACTGGACTACCCTATTGAAAAATACTAAATATCTATCACCTAAGGTAAAGGTCTGAACAGCCATCATCAACAAAAGTTACTAAACCACAAACTTCCAGTATACTGCATCTGTTTCAAGACCTGTTTCGGATGTCAGTTACTCGGAGAAACCGAATTCAGCTGAATTGTCCGTCAGAAGTGTTAATGAATAGGAATCAATGTACTCGGATCCCGGCAATTCCCAGTTTGTTCCCCAAAGGTTTCTCTAAGCGTAAATCTTACAAAGATTTCAAAAGAATTAATAGCAACATTAAAGCTAGTCAAAAGAGGTATTGCGATCTAAAACATGGAACAATGGTTCGCTCTAATCTAAAACACCGAAAACTTCACTAGCAGTTATTGTAAAATCTGAGGGATGTTCTAATTAAAACAGAGAGTGGAATTCAACAACTATTACCTATTACCTAAGGTAAAGATCTGAACAGCCATCATCAACAAAAGTTACCAAACCACAAACTTCCAGTACACTGCAGCTGTTTTAAGACCTGTTTCGGATGTCAGTTACTAGGAGAAACCGAATCCAGCTGAATTGTCAGGAGATCAACACGAAACCCAAATAACTGAAATTGAAAGGCTATTGCCAATGGCACCAGATATGGTCGCAAGATTCGACTTGCTGATAGACTTTTATATTACAAGGACTTTATTTTTTTAAAAATGTTGCATGTGGAGTAATCTACGGTGACCTGCCTTGTCAAGAAATGGTATCCGTTCTTTGCTATAAAAAACGAGGCATCAATGAGGATGGGAATCAACTTAAATTCTACGCGTTAACTAGTTTGGACGTCAAAGCAAATAGTCAAAGACTTCATCTTCTCTTCTTTCGCCCACCTATAATTTAATACACTTAAATTACGCCACACAGGAGATATTCACATAACCGAAGGGACTGTTATCTGGGTTAAATATTTTGCATTTTAGAACATTTCATCATCTCCAACAGAAAATTCCACATGTAGTGATGCCGGGTGTTTCAATAGAACAATGATCCAAACACACTTCGCCGGAGAATAAAACTTGAAGAAGAAACATATTAATGTTATTTCGTGGTCCAGCTAATCACCGAATTACAAACCTAATAGAAGAAACTGGGCACCTAGTGAGGGTCGAAATCAAGACTCAGTAGTACGCGTCAACTAAACTAAACTAACTAACCATCATCCATTCCCGAGACACTCACAAGACATTTATTATCTGGAAAAATTCACTTCAATTTTTCAGTATCCAATGTTATGTGCTCGGTCACATCACGTTGAAACACCGGTTCACTTAAGATCAGCGAAGTTAAGCAACTTCGAGTCTGATCAGTACGAAGATGGGTGACCACTTGAGAAACCAGGTGCTGTAAGCATGGATGTGCGCTGATGTAATGAATAATGGCTCAGAATTGTTAATTGGAAAGCCGAGTTCCAATACTAGTTAGGTTCGCTATATTTACTTACGTGTAAATAACCCTTGAAAAAGTATGAATCCACCTCTTCTCCCCCAGACATGGATTAACTAGTAAGGCTTGTATCACTAAACTCAATATTATCTCCACCACCACCACCAAAAATAATCTTACACTCTAAAGTATTTTCTGGCTTTAAATAACCTGTAATGGGTTGATAAACCGTAGAAAAAGACATCAATTAGTGAATTCAAAGTTATGGCTAGTGTCGTAGCTAATAAATTTCAGACCCGGGAATCGGAATGTATGATTGTCAATCTGAGACATTGAAAAAAGAAAGAAAAGAAAACTGATGAGTTATTTGGGAAATTTGGTTTTTAATAATTTCTGAATTTCTCGAGTGAGCAAATTCGTCCAGAGTTCTTGTTTTCTTTCCAAATATTTTCAGTTCTGTCTTGCGTCACCACCGAGACTGATGAATTGTTTCAGCTGTTCATTGACTTATTTAAGAACAACAACACACAGACGTTGTTCAAGATTTTTCACTTAACCTCTGATCCTTGCCAACAATATTATTTAACCGCCTCTACCGTCCATGAATTCTCATCCAAATAAGGAAGAATAAACATAATTTTTTAGATGAGGAATTATCATTATTATATAATTTGCCAGACGAGCATGTTGAGTAAAAGATTTGAGCCCGTTCAAATTGTAATAAAATCAAATTTATTCGCTTTCAGTCCAACAAGTCAGAACAAAATGATTTTATTTTGAAATATTACATTTCATGTGGCACAAAGAGAAAAGGTAGATAAAGGTTGGTCATCACTGACTCTCCCACACCTAGTTAATTTGGTTCACGACCCATTCATTTATTACAATATACTTCTACACAACAAGAACTCATTCATCACTATTCAAGCCAACATATACCGTATATTCGGAGGGATCTTGCTAAAACGCCCATTACTTGAAAATATATACAATTGCTTTTTGTTTGTTTTAGTTTTTGAGAACAAGATGATGGTTTTGGGCGGGGTGGGGCGAGAACAAAATTATTTTTAGGCTTTATATTTGATTTATTTATTTGACAGATCTTCTATAATCACAATGTGGGATATTTTATAATAAAAGTGATGGAAACATAAACAAAATAAAAAAAGAAATTAAAAGAATTCCATTGGACCCAAAAAATACCGAAAAAAAAAACTCCTTCATGCGCATGTGTAATCATATCACCGTAAACATCACTTTAGTCCGATGATGTCATAAAGTACGAAACGCATCACACGAATACGTTACGTTTTCCACTTTGTCATAGTTTTTTCCCCTAAAATTTACTTATGGATGTACTGTTCGTGCATGCATATATGTGGAAATATCATTTCCGTTATTAAAGCCGTCCTGGGTATGACGATAAACTACATCCAGCAGCAAGGCCTCTTGTCAAGAGGTTTTGAGGAACGTGGAACCACCTCTTATTTGATGTTGTTCCTGTGACCACCCTTACCCGGGGTGGTAGCACCTGTTAGGGTCCCAACTGGGGACAAAATTCTTTGAAAGTATAAAAATACATTTTTTTACTAAAAATACTAGCAATACATTTTCATAATAAAAAAAACTACCAGTAATATATCTTTGTAAAAAAATTAACAGCAACACATTTTTGTTAAAAATATATATTACTAGCAATACATTTTTGAAAAAAAATATTACCTGCTATACATTTTTGTAAATGAAATTACTAATACTCCCAAGAAAATTAAATTCCAGCATTAAATGACCCATAATTTTCACATTAGGTCCCATAAAGGGGTTAAGCAATGATGATTATACGAAATTTTAGATTTGATAAAAGGCTACAAATATGGTTCATTTAGTGAGAATGGAACTCACTGTTTTGTAATAATGGTCAACCAGACCAGAATGTTAACAATTTTCCCACCCTGAATGTCCAGGTATTTAATAAACAAAGCTTCGTATCGGGCACCGGGCGCGAATTGAACTCACTCGTAATGATTTGCAAGATTAGCTTGTTAACCATTAAACCAAACGAGGTGCCCTGCGAGTGGGTTTTGGGGGACAGCAATTCTTCAATAAGATTCGATACAATTTACTCTTTGTTTAAAGAGAATTTCCAATTTAAAAGATTTTTTGGCATAGTTTCATCAAAATCCAATTTTTATGACTTGTAGTAATTTGCTCTGGAGTGAAAAAGACATATTCAGTTTCGTTTCAGGACAATGTGTCGTTTTCCTTCAAGACGTAAGTGATCATGGCCGTCTACATCTTCTTGTCTCTTGTAGCTCTGAATAAGTTTTGTCTTTTTGTTATTTTTCCTAACCCTGTTCTACAATCCATTTACTCAAGCCCATCAAGTATGTTACGCGCTGCTTTCCTCTATCCCTCTTTTCCTCAATCTCTCCTGTGAGTATCAGATTTTCCACGCCTTCCTTCCTCATTACATGCACCAGAAATTTCAAGTTAAGTATAAGTTTCTTTTTTGTTTCCATTTTCTCCAAAACCTCGTCATTGCTCACATGTTCGGTCCATGGTATCCTCAACATCTTTCTGTAGAACCACATATATGTTGCTTCGGGTCTCTTCATTTTTAACTAGCCAGTGGGGTCGCTCTATCACCCCTACTGGGGAGCAATTTCCCCTGGACACGAAATTACCACGTCTGATCTCTTCGACGTGTAAAAACTTAACTCATCGAAAACACTTTCCAACTCTAACATTCTCACATTCGGCTAAATCAATCAAAATCGCCATCTCTATTTTGTCTACCAGTTGACCCGAAGATCAGCCTAAAAAGGTCTAAGCCAAATACACTGCTACTAAAAAATAATAATCTGAAACTGTTATTTAACACTTGGATTTTCTGTTCACTTTGTTACATTTTTTTTTTTTGCTTTTACTATGGCGATTAACTTAATAAAATCAAGAGAATGGCGGATAAATCGACATAGACAGAAAAAACCTAAAGAGAAATACTGAGTCTTAATTCTATCATAACCAGCAAATATAGCAAGTAGACTCAGGAGGAATACAAGAATAATCATGACTAGATTGAGAAACTGATCCATAGACATCTGTGAAAGTGATTGCGTTTGATCATACAGATCAGGGGTGTAAGTACAGGACAGAATAAGTCTTAGAGAATGAAAAACAAAATCTTCTGGAAATTCTAAATTCAAACGTAACGTTCCAAAGAACATGTCAGATTTCAGAAGGCTGAAGGAACTATCTCCTTCAACCTTCTTTCTCAGAAGAATAGTCGGATATCATCCAAACGACAGCATTATTGAGAACAGCGAAAATACTGAGGAGACTTGCTGTCACTTGGTATCCAGTGTAAGCTAACATTTAGTAGTAGTGCGAATATACATTCAATGAATAAATCATTACTTTTGTAAAGTTCCCTTGCATTGATGCTCGTTATATCACGTGTTAATGTTCGGTTTAGTAATAAAATAGGTTGTGAAAAAATAAAATACATTCTAATAAATGTTGATAATGATTTGTGAAATTTATTTAACGAGGGTAACACCAAGTTATCTTGCTAGTTAAAACTTGGTTTATTTCTTCCAGCAAATGCTTGGTTAGTGTTGAGTAATTGTAGTGTATGATTAGTCGCATATGGCAGCTTCACTTTGAGGCTCTGCGAATGGACGCTTGGCGCCATCGACTATTCTCTGCCCGCCCGAGGGGAAACGTACTGTGTGCTTTCAGATCAACATCATTTTGCCTTTTTTTTCTGCTTAGTTGAGTCTGGAAGGGTTTTTCAAACTTCCTGACGTTTCTCGCCTGGCATCTGTGTCGTGTTATTTCATCCTGCTGGCTTTTAAACTCTTTAGTTCCTTTCTACTTGTAATGAACGTTAACTAAATTTATGGGCGAGTCTTTTTGTTCTGCTTCCTTCCCCCGCTACCGCAGCACTTTTTGCACGTACATTTTTCATATGTATTCATAATTGCATTAATTTATCTTCGAATTACTGGGAAATCCCACGGTGGTTTATACAAAAGATTGAAAATCATCCACGATTTTTTTTTCTCTTGGCTAACCTCTGAGCCAAATCGTTTCACTTATAATCGCCCTTCTCACACTTTGCACTGATCCATTTTTTATTTAATCATGTCTTTTTATTGCAAGACACCACTTTCATTAAGCCACAAGTTTTAACGACATATTTCTCATTAATTTGACTCACCTGATAAAATTGTGAAACACTCTACTAAATTTCCATTAAATTACGCTCATAAAGTACCAGTGTTCTTTTGAGTGATTCACATTATTTAATAGTTGGTTTTGACAGCACATTTAAAATTTAGTTTTGCACGCGAATTTCCCTCTTTTTTTCCCTTTTTTTGTCTCATGAGATTTGTTCCACTTACTTCGACGTTTATTAAAACATTTTATAATTGCTTTCTCAGTTGTTAGGTATACAGACACCTACCTGCCACCAACGACAGAGTTATGGTCCATATCAAGCCAAAAAAGCCTGATAAACATCTACTTCACCTCTGTTACGACTGTTGAAATTTTTACTAAAGGTTTTCCAGGCAATTTTGAGAATTTTGTGCTGGTCATTTTAAAAGATAAATTAGTAAATTGTGAAAATATCTTTGACTCTTTGTCATAACAACTACATGCTCAGCTCAAAAGCATTGAAACACACACACACATATATATATATATATATATATATATAAACACACACACACACACATATATATAAACACACACACACATATATATATATATATATTAGAGTGTGCAGCTTATATTTTATATCATAAAGAAACAATTTATACAAAGAATTAAATAGCAGTGTTAATGTGATTAATGGAGAAATCACTTCGTTAACAAGACTTAATGAGACATTAACTTACTATAAATTCCTTGAAAAAAAATCCTTAAATAATAATGGTTTAATGATGCAAGTCTTACTGATTATCTCAGCTAGAGGGGAAAAGAGGTGGATTGATGAATTTTCCAAGGATATTTGCGCGTAAGTGAATATAACGAACCCAACGGGAATTGGAACTTAACTCCCCGATCAACAAATTCGAGCCATTACCAATTACACCACCCGCAGATCCAAGCATACATCACCTGGTATAGCAAAGCGGTCACCCACCTAGGTACTGAGCAGGCTCGACGTTGCTTAACTTCAGTGATCGCATGGGAACTAGTGTTTCAACTTGATGTGGCCTTAAGCATCCCCAGAGGGAAAACTGTAAGAATATTAAGAAAAATGAATAAATAACTTGTATTTTCCTTCTTTGTCACATTTAACGAAACACACACACACACACACACACACACACACACACACACACACACACACACACACACACACACACACATATCTCTATATCGGAGAGTCGAGTTCGAATTACATTCGAATCCATTGCATTCACTTACATGTTAATACCCTTCCGCAGGTTTTGAATTCACAGTTGTCCTTCTCCTACACTAGTTGCCATCCAAGGCTATAGGACTCAGTCTGTCCTGTTATTTGCCCATAGCTGGGGCGAGAAAAGGATTCATACCTTTCACAAAGTTATTAGCACGTATAATTAAAAATTAATGACGTCAAAATGCTCTGTATTTTCGTTTTGATTTACGTTAACCGTTCATATTAGTGAATGAGATCTATTTCTGCTTTTGTCAACATTATTTGATGGCTTTTCATGAGCTTTTATCGTAATCAGTGATGAGACAAATTTTGAACAAGCCATTCGGATTTACGGTGGGGAATGAAAATATATATTCCATTGACCTGAGCCTAAACATAGAAAACTCGACTTTAGCTTCAATCACTTTCATTTCCCTGCAGAAAGTTGTAATGTTTTTGATTTCTAAATCAATGCCATTGTAAAATACGCGTTGCCATTATGGCAGTGAAAATGTGATGGTGATTTAAAAAGCAAATTAAATTTTATAAGTGTTCACATTAGGAAAGTATGGAACAAGAAACCAGTGCTTAGATGTTACCGCGATCTAATTTTAATCATTTAACACATGGGCGACATCCCCGTCCCACAAATTTCGAAGTTCAATAGTCAGCCAATCAATTGATGGTAACTGTGTTCTGGATGTAAAAGGTGTAATATACGTGAATTTAATAACGCAGGGTCAAACAGTTAACGCACTCAGAAACATTGAAACGCTGAAACAATGAAACTTGTTTGTTTAACGGCATATCGAATCAATTGGGTTATTTAATACCGAAATTTAATTTTTAAGAGAGATTTGAATAAATAAAAATATGATATGTTATTCTGCTTTCACAATTGAATACATGGTAGATTATACTTAGCTTTTGTGCATATATATGTTTGTGGGGACATGATTACTAGAAGAGATGATAGGTCAGTTTTGTTATAGTTTTATTGAAGTTATATTTTGGAATATAATTTGATTTCTTTAAGAAATTGTGGTATATTATATGGATTAATCTCATGAAGTTGTTCTTTCACCATGGTTGCTTGTTTGTTTAGTGGTATATCAACATCTATGGGTTATTTAATTCCGAACTCTAAATATTTTGAACACAATTTTATGGTTTCCACTAACTATATTTTAAATGTAATTATATGCCTTCAACTTCAGGTAAAATGAATTGTTGGTTATTTTGCTATAAAATGTATTGTTTCTAATTCTATAAAATTGCATTGCTGGCCATTTGACTATAAATAGGTACTATTGGCTATTTTACAATATAAACATGTATTGCTGGTCATTTTACCATAAGATGTATTTTTATGCTTTCATATTGTTCTGTTTTTGCTTAGAGTTTCACTATTTGCACATAGCTGGAATCCTAACAGGTGCCACAACCCCGGGTCAGAGTGGACCTGGGAACAACAGCAATTAAGAGGTGGTTCTACGTAACTCAAAACCTCCAATCTCCCGATGAGAGGCCGTGCTGCAGGCTGTAGTTTGTCGTCTTACCCAGGACAGTGATAAAAAAATATACCAATACGTTCGCATAACATCGCTACACTAACCAGGCTGGCCCTGTCGTTATGGTAAGTATTTTACAGCATCTACCGCATGGTTCTAATTTGGCTTCTGTTTATCTCTTTGGACTTCTCAAACAACATTTATCTGAGAAGCAGTTCCATACAGATGTTGTCGCAGAAATGCAAGGGTGGCTCTAGTCAGACGTCACGTTCTACGAAGAGAACATTTTTGTTTTCATTGGCGACTATGCTAAAACGTAGCATAGTAAGTCTGCATACACTCAAAGTTTTATTGTTATAGCAATAAAGGACTTGAATTTGTAAATGCCTTACGTTTTTTTAACATCTTTCGTATTTTATAGGTGTACGTACAAATATATATTCGTCACTGAACGAATAAAAATGAAGATATTTCTTTATGAAAAGAATGAGACAGCAGGTACGTTTAAGCAAACTATTTCCAGGACTGACGATTTTTACTTTGCATTTGACTCTCTCGAAACTGCTAAAATAAAACTGTTTCCCATTTCAAAACTATCAATGTTCTTTACTATCTATTGTTTGGAATTCTGAGATTAAATAGCTTCATTATTTCAAAATATTTTCACGTTAGTTTTTTTCATCTTTGTTATTTTAAAACAGTGTCGTGATAGAAACAAAACGATGAAGATAATTTGTCCGAAAATGTGTAGAAACTTATTTTCTGTTAGACTGAATGAATGACTCCGCCAAAATGTTTTATTTACTTTGATTCCTCATCAAATAACAGTTATTAATTTAAGTTGTTTGTTTTTGATGTTTTATTTATTTATTTTGTACTCAGTAGCACAACCAGCCGATGATAGTGATAGACGTGAAAGTTAGCAATAGATTCAGTTTTAATGCTGAATTCGATAACTTTTAATAAAAACCACTTTATATAAAAATGGCCATCTAATCCAGACTAATTAGTTCACACTGTGTCGCCAGGGTTATTCTTTAAAATATACAAAATGACAAATGTAATTTTGAAATGAATAACATTGTATCAAAGTCTAAAAATACAAATAAGTTTTCTGCTTCGACACGTTTCAGAATGAGATTCACTCTAATCGATCGTATGATGGACTTCAAGGCCTTATATTTTGTTCTGGTCACGTGATATTCATTTATCAGACGATATGTTTTTCCCCAAACTCCAGGATTAGAATTGTTGCTATGTGGAACACAGAAAGAAAGGATTTTCATGCGTAATTTATTTATTGAATTATGAATATATGAAACAATACAGTTTAAGATTTATCTTTATATTTTCACTCGAAAATATAAAGTATTTCATTTTTGCAGCTTTGGGTCGAAATACATTTTAGAAAACACGTCGTCAACTTAACGGATGCGTGAGTAGCTTAACGGTTATCGGCTTGGAATATGTTCGGTAAACCGAGTTCAATTTCCAGCTTAGTCTGTTGATTTCAATTGCACTAATGCCTTTGGAAAATGCCTTTAGGAATTTCTTCTCTCTCCATATATCGGTTAAATACCAATGTAAATATTCAACTCTATATTCAAAACTGTGGAGGCCACGGAAAACTATTTCACTACCTTTCCCAAGAAGATAATACAGAGAAGGAATCTGTGGAGAGTCATGACTGCCTGGTTATTTGGTATTCTCAAAACGAAGAAATGTTTACAATGAACATAGGGAGGTCTATATTTAAGTGCGTCTCATTATTTCTCTGTCCAGTAAAGAAATATCAATAAATAAATTTAAAACAAAATGGCTGAAAAACGAAAGCTCGATTACCGTAGACACGTTGAGCGATAGTGACAGAGATGATTTTTAATGCAGGTTCGATCCTTATTCCGTGACTAAATAAATGTGCTAAAATTATCTTTAATTCATAAATATATATGAAGGTTCCGTATAGGATACAGGTTCGATTCCTGTCCGAGGACGCATATTTTCTATGACAATTTCTCGGACACTCAGGCCAGTAAATGTTAATTATAAACAGAATATTTACTTAAATATTTGTATCTATAAAAAAGAACACATAAACATAAAAAATTCTTAAAATAATTGTTGGATATATATATATATATATATATATATATATATATATATATATATATATATATATATATATATATATGTGTGTGTGTGTGTGTGTGTGTGTGTGTGAAGAAATATAGTCTTAAGATGTGCTATATTTATGAGATAAAGTGCTCAATATCAGAGATAGAGCGTGTGTAAATATAAAAGTGAACATAGACGATTGCATATAGCATGAAACAGACTATCGCCGCTAAGTGTTGACTTCTATGTTCACTTATATATATATATATATATATATATATATATATATATATATATATATATTACAAACTTTGGGAGCTAGTCCCTCAAACCAAAACAAGGACAAATTCCACCTATATAATAAATGCCAGTGTCACATAACTCTCAATAGCTCATCTCCTTCTTCGTTGAACTAGGTAAGCTTTAATATTGATGGAATACTTAAATGCAACGATCAATTTTGAGTTCTTCTGTAGTTTATTGTTGCCTATCGCATCTACTCCATCCTACCTACTGCTATGAAGACCCAATCAAGACCCCTCCACAGCAGCTAACATAAATACCGCCCAATAGGACGAGTTTTAAGCTAATTTAGACATGTCCGCAAATCCTTCATTTTTTGAGTTATTGAATTTAAGGCAAGTTTACAGTAGATACATTTTAATTAATAATAATTTTGCTGTCTTTTGACACTTTAATTAATAATAATTTGGGTCTGTCTTTTGACATAAAGCTCACCCTGGATATATATCCTCCTGGAAATTCAGACGGATTACCATATTGTATCATAATATATATATATATATATATATATATATATATATATATATGTGTGTGTGTGTGTGTGTGTGTGTGTGTGTGTGTGTGTGTGTGTGTGTGTGTGTGTGAAAAAGTGTGTGTATATAAATATAAATAAATATATATATATATATATATATATATATATATATATATAATGACGATCGCAAAAGCGTGAAACCCAGGGTCACAAACTCACATTAATCCAACCAAATATATATATATATATATATATATATATATATATATATATATATATATATATATATATATCTTTAGACGTTATTTTTAGTAGATACTCGTATCTGAGTAGGCGCAAGTTAATATATGTATATATCTGAAACACAAGCGTTTCGCCCTCGAAAAGCCTGCTCAGTTTTGCTTCTTCAG